CTCACACAATTTCCTCTCCCTTGAGTGATTTGGGGAAGATTTCTATTTCTGTAAGAGAGAGAAAGAGAGTGAGAGAGGAAGAAAGTTTGTGTGATTACATTCAGTCAGACATAATTTGAGTAAATATTGGATGGGATTTTCGGTAGAAATAAGCCCGACGGATTGATTAAATGGGCTCCTAAATGTCTGTCACTGTTCATTCTTAATTAATTTATTGATTAGAAACCGCATAGAATCTCGGTTATGTCAGGCGCTCACGAATAGATAGATAAATGAATAAATAAGTAAATCAAAAAGGAAGAAAGAAAGGAATATCAGATTTAACTATCTCCGTCTCTCTCTTCCTTCTTTTTACGGCAAGCACTAAATATGGCGAACTGTCGTGTGGTCGCCATGTGTTAGATGGTTAAGCAGACGCCCTCTATCCCCGGTGATTGCATTAGTAACGTATCACACATCTTACAGTAGCACTCAAGGATATGGTCACTCTTGCATTAAGTTTTAATGTTCGACATCGCATTTGGTCCGACCGACAGTATTTTTTTCTTCTTTTTTTATGAAGCAGCTTGTTCTCAGGGCTCGACCTGTAGGAACCCGAGCTCAAATGACACGTGACAAATATGGCATGACAAGGAGCGCAACATGAGTCCCATGGTCAGGGCCGACGACGACGACGACGCCGGAGACCAAATGAGGAAGGACGGGACACCTCGCCGCAGAGGACACCCGACCCCCGGTAATGCCACGGGTACCCGGCTGTGCATTGTGTTTGCACTATATACGTACATGGACTCTCTTGCCTCTTCCCTCTGTGTGTGAGCGGATTGCAGAGTGGCAATTGCACTCTGAATGGTGACTTGGAGGGATATTAAGTGTTGTGAGTTTGGTGAGTGTGTGTGTATGTGTGTATGTCCGTCGCGAGAGACGTTAATGTGTTTTCGGGGAATATTTGTGAGCATTTCCTCGCGTGTATCAAGTTCGTGCACTGCGGCGGAAGGGCCATAAGCGAGGTCCAGGAGGCGCTTCCTCGACGATTATGCGCGGGCAGCCAAAGGGCGAGACCAATACAACGGAAAGATAAACATCAGTCGTCAATCTCGTGACAAAAAGCCCAGTCCCTCTCGCTCGACTTCGCGATGCAAATGGCGCCGCTTGCCATGGACGGAAGTGAGACTCCCGAGCCCCGATAGGATTCCTGGGTTGAAGGAGGGCCTCGGAGGGCGCTCTGGCGGAGGACGTTCCCTGCGGGCGTGGCAGAGACGCCGCCGGTCAGCGTCTCTCGCCGGCTCGCTCCATAAAGATCGGCCGATGGAACTTTTATGGCCCGGCGGACGCGTTCGCATTATTGTGACCGCGGTTTATAGTTCATCAGAAACGCCATTGTTCGGAAGAGCGCCCGGAAAATAAGTGCCATTTTAATATCGGCCGTTTTATTTGGCGTTACTTGGCGGGCGTCGCGCGGCTGTCATCGTCTCGGGGAGGTCGCCTGACAACCTTTTTTTTTTACTTTTTCTTCTCCTTTTTTCCTTGTATTATGCTGAAGACGAAGGCCTTTTGCTGAGACTTAAAACGAAAGGAGATGGGTTTCTGGGGAAGGCGGACGACCTGGACAACGAAAGGAAATGGAGACATTGATCGGAAGGAGGGAAGGGAAAAGGTCGGCCCTAGTTGGTGGAAATGCTGAATCAGAGATAAATACGAGGAAGCAATAGGGAAGATAAATAACAGATAGAGAGAAAAAGACTAGAAGATGAGGAACCATAAGAGAATAATAATGATGCAGCAGCAACAGAAAAAATATAATAAAAAATAAAAACACTACAACCCAGTTCAACATCTCTCGACCTCTGCCGAAGACATCTTGCCACCGCCCTTAATTCCCCCGTGCTTGCAATGGCATAATAAACCCACAAGAAGCACAATGACGCCGCGCAGGAAGGCGACTCAGTCCACGCCGAGGAGGAAACAGATCGCCGTTTGCCTCCCTTTAAGAGAGGTGAAGTAACAACTTAAGGCAACGTATTACGGGAAACGTCTTCGAGGTACGTCTTGGGAGAAGGCGACGGAGGACAGTCAGACGGTGAAATTGCCCGTGAGATAAAAATCTTACTGAGGATGCTACTCGGGAGATAGGAAGAGGGGAAGGGGGGGGAAAAGATAAAAGAGGGTAAAAGGGAATGCGGAGGAGTGAAGGACAGAAGACGAGAATAGGGAAATAGGAGAAAGTAGGTAATTAGAGGCGAATGGGAGAAGGAAGTAGGAGTAGCTAGGTTAGGAGAGGAGAGGGAATACCTAACATTACCGCTTGTGCAGACAGCGTGCCGGCGAGACAATGCGCTGTCTCTTATTATAGTTTCGTACGAGCAGTGGAACCGAGTCCAGGCCAGAAATGAGAGTCGTAGTTTCTAATTAGAACGATAAGCATAAATGTAAATGAGATAGGGAGAGACAAAATACAAAGTGAAAAGATCCCCTGGGTACGGTTGAGAGACATTCTCTCTCTCTCTCTCTCTCTGCTCTCTCTCTCTCTCTCTCTCTCTCTCTCTCTCTCTCTCTCTCTCTCTCTCTCTCTCTCTCTCTCTCTCTCTCTTTATATCTTCCTCTCCAACTGCCAATCTCCCTCTCTCTTTTCCCTCTCTTTACCACTCCCCTTCCTCTCTCTTCCTCTCCCACTGCCACTCTCCCTCTCCTTTTCCTCTCTCTTTCCTGCTCCCCCTCCCTCTCTTTTCCTCTCCCACTGTTGCTCTCCCTCCCCCTTTCCCACTCCCACTCTTTCTCTCTCCCTTTCTCCTTCTCCCCCACTGCCACTCTCCCTCACCTTTTCTCATTCCCTCCTTCTCCCTTTCTACTACTCTCCCACTCTCTCCCACTCTCTCTCTCTCTCTCTCTCTCTCTCTCTCTCTCTCTCTCTCTCTCTCTCTCTCTCTCTCTCTCCCTCCCTCCCTCCCTCCCTCCCTCCCTCCCTCTCTCTCCCTCCCTCCCTCTCTCTCTCTCTCTCTCCTCCCTCCCTCCCTCCCTCCCTCCCTCTCTCACTCTCTCTCTCTCACTCTCTCTCTCTCTCCTCGACCGAAATGGATCTCCCGGCCGCCGTCCCCGCGCCCGGCAGGGAGATCTCCGCCGCCGGGGAGCCGCCCCTCGGCCCGAGTGGGGAGCGCCGCGGCCCAAATTTCGCGAGGGGGGGTAGGGGGGGGGTAGGGGGGAGTAGGGGGTAGGGGGGAGAGGAGGTCGTCTCGCGGGGCATTAATGCAAACGGCTCCAGATAGAAGGCAAGGAAGAGCTCGTGTGAGAAGGGAGAAGGTTGTCGGCGCGCGCGGAGAGAGAGTGCTTCAAAGGCCAAGCGGTTCTTGGGGGTTACTTGGGCCGGGAGGAAATTTTGCTTCCGTCGTTTTCATTATTATTATTATTTTTTTTTTTTGTAATTTTCTTTGTTGTTTGTTGTTCCTTGTTGTATTTCTCTCTGTTTTTGTATGTCCGTTACTCTCGGAAGTTGTTGTTGTTGTTGTTTTTCTCTCTCTTTCTTTATAATTATGTATCGTTGCTTCTTACCATTTTTGTTTTTGGTTTTTGTTTTTGTTCTGTAACTTTTTCTTGATGTTGTTGGTGTAATTCTTTGTATTTTTTTGTACTCTCTTTTCCTTGTAACTTTTTCCTCCCTTTTTTTCCCACTGCCACTTTCGGTTGCAGCTTATTGCAATTACATAATGTTTTTTTCTTTTTTCTTTTTTCTTCTTTTTTTCTCTTTTGACTTTCTGCTCTTAATTGGGTTTAGAGTTTTCGTTTTATTATTATTTTAACTTTGTATCTTGTTATTGCTGTTTTTCTTTCTTTTCTTTCTTACTTTCTTTTCTGTCTCTCTTTTTTTCGTCTTCCTTTCGTCCCTTATATTCGTGTGATTTTTTTCTCTTTTTCTTTTTTTTTGCCCCTCGTTTTGGTCTTTTTTATGACATATTTTACGACTTGGTGTTTTGTTTTGTTGATAATCATCTTCTTGTTTTATGTATATATATTTATTTATTTATTTATTTATTTTCTTGCTATTATATTTTGGTCGATAATTAATATTCATTCCCTGCTATTTTTATTTATCGTTTTATCACCTTTCCTATTTTTACTACACACGCGCAAGCACAAGCACATCAAAATACATATATAGATGTGGATAGACAGATAGATAGATAGATAGATAAATAGATAGGTTGAAAGATTGAGAGAGAGAGAAAGAAAGAGAGAGAGAGAGAGAGAGAGAGAGAGAGAGAGAGAGAGAGAGAGAGAGAGAGAGAGAGAGAGAGAGAGAGAACGAAAGAGAGAGAGAATTAGATTAACAGACAGATAGACTGACAAAGAGAAAGATATGTTCTTTTTTTTTTTTGGGGGGGGGGGTAGAGGGACGGAAAGTGAATTAGCTGTCTGTTCGAATTTGTTCCTACTACACGATATATATCGCTTTTTTTCCTCACTGAGAATCGTTTTTTTAATCTCATTTTATGCAGTTTAAAGCGTAAATTCCACAATCGAAAGGATTCGCGTGGATGAGATAACTCAGCGGGTTTTTTTGGGGAGGGAAGCCGAAGCCAGGGCCAACGACAGGCATCGAGAGAGGGATTCTGCTGTTAAGTGTTCGTAACTTTTTTCTTCTTTTTTTTTTCTTGTTCTCTGACGGAAGTCCAATTGTCTTGACACTTTTTTTCAACTCGTGTGGCGAGGAAGAATTTGTTTCGGCGTTATTCGTTTCTTTATTGTTGTTATCGTTTACTTAGTTATTCTTTTCTTACTTTTTTGTCTTATTTATAATCATATATATGATATTAGCATCACCTCCATCAATATCGTCAATAGATTGTTTTTACCATCGTCAGCACCATCATATCACAACCTCCATTAACCTCTTCATCATCACTATCATCACAATTATCATCACCACGGTCACCATATCCACCATCATCATCGTTTTCATTTATCATCTATGGAATAAAAAGAGTTACTTCACTAAACGGCACTATGATATAAACATTCCCAATTCATTTATTAAAAGGGGTGGGTTTGAAAGC